CTGGGCGCGCGGAGGGCGGGCGCCCGGGAGCGCGGCTGGGTCCGCGCAATTCCAGGTGCGTCATGGCGAGCAGGGCGGGGTTGGAAGGGGGCGGGGCCTGAATAGTGGGGCTGGCTGGGGGCGGGACCCGAATGAGGTTGCTGGGGGTGGGGCCTGAATAGTGTGATTACAGAGTGGGTCCGGCCCGGGGGCGGGGCCTGAGTAGTGGGGCTGGCTGGGGGCGGGGCTTGAATGGTGTAGTCTGTGGTTGGGTCTGCCCCTGAGGCGGGGCCTTAAGGTGGGTAAAGGGCCTGGGAGATGTGGGTCGGCCTGTGGGGCGGAGCAAAATGGGTGGAATCAGGTGGGTAGATTGCCGGTATCTGGGTGACTGGGAGGGAGGACCTGGGTAGGTGGGTGCCAGACCTTGTCTGGTGGGCTTGTGCATAGGGCCTGATTAGCTCTGGTGGACAGAACAGGGCGTGTGGGGTGGAGCTTGAATGGAGGGGTGGGGAAAGGTGAGTGGGGCTTCTAGCTGGGCGGGGCCCAACCTGTGGGTGGGGCCAAGTGGTCCTGAAGGAACCCAGGTGATCTGGTGAGTTCTTCCAGACGGATGGGACCGTGTGGCAAGGCGTAACCTGCCGGGTGGGGTGGGTCCTGTGGTGGTCCGTGGTCAGGTGAAGTTTCACCCAAACCCCTGGTGTCTGGCCATCTGTTTTGTACTTCGCATGAAGCAGGTTTCTCCTGGTGGGTGATCACTTCCCTGTTTTCCAGACAAGGGAGCTGAGGCCCAGGGTTGGACGCTGTGTAAAGTCCCACAGTGAACTGTGTTGCAGAGCTAATGTTTGGCCTCAGCGGTTACAGGGTGGATAGTCTGTTTAGGGCTGGTGGGGGCTCAGCTGGTGGTCCTTTAGGTGGTCTGGCTAGATCATTTTGGGGGAAGGTTTCAGTGGGAACTCAGGACCCCTGAGAAGCTTACGTAACCTTGAGTGAACTGTCCCAGGGATTCCCATTTGAATTATTTCTTCTTCTGTGTGAGCAAGGGGAGCCCCAGCTGGGAGATAGGGTGTGGGAGGCTTTTGTCCTTCACACCACTGAAGACAGTGGTCAGTGGAGCCATCTGTGGCTGCTGCAAGCTCAGTGGCCACCTCTGTATGTGGTCTCGTCCATTGACTTATGAGAAAGCCAGGCTTGGGGCTTATGTGCTCGGGATGGGTCCAGGCCCACTTATTCCTGCCCCTCTTGGGCCCTGTGGAGGCCAGGAAGCCAGGAGAGTCATTGTGCCCTCCTGTTCCTGAAGTTGTTGCCACGTGGGCAGGATGGGGACCAGCAGGTGGGAGTGTGTGGAGTGGTGATTGGAGCCATGGGGCGGACAGACTGGTGGGGTGGGACTGGAGAGGTGGGGGTATAGGAATGTGTTTAAGAAGGATGGGGCATGGAGGGGGGAGGGGGAAGGCGTATGCATTGGGAGGGGGGCTGTAGAGGGGAAAGGGGCATATGAAGAGGGGCGTTTATAAGGTGGGTGGGTATGTATGCCAATGTGGAGACACAGTCGGGGCAGAGACACTGAGGTAGGCAAGGATGTGCAGGGGAATGTGCGGGCTGAGGCTCCGGGAGGTGGATTTAGGACTGCTGTGTGGGGCGGGCTCTGGCTCCTGCTGCCTCCCTGTGACCCTCTGCTAGCACTGTTGACTGCCTGTCCCTTCTGGCGCTCAGACCCTACAGCAGGAGCTGAGGAATTTGGCCTCTTGCAGCTTTTAGCTGTAGGATCTGCGGCAGGTCTTTGTCCTGCTGTGGAGTCACCTGGAGCCTCTCTTGGTGTTTTAGGTATAGAGAACCTTCCCTGCGAGCTTCAAAGGAACTTTCAGCTGATGCGAGAGCTGGACCAGAGAACGGAAGGTGGGTGGAGGCCGGGAGGGCACAGAGGTATGTGGGGGGGGAAAGGCGGGGGCCATGGGCAGCCTACGGAGAGTGGCTTGGAGAGGGTGCTTGTACGTTATCTCTGAAACCTAATATGGATTCTTGCTACAAGCCTTTAGCCCCCAAATCTGTGCTGCCTGATAGAAATGTTGGCGGTTGCCGCTCTGTGCGCAGCTGGCCTCTGAACCCCTGTTTCCGAAGAACTGCTTTTTGCTGCTGGTGTTATTTTTATGTCACTTCCGTTTTAGATTTTCTGTATTCTGTTTCTTCCCTGAGAGATGCCAAGCTGCACAATCTCAGGGCACAGACCTCCTGGGACGGCTCTCAGGTCTGGGGTCCACAGGGCCCCCTCTCATATGTCACCCTCTGGCTATAGACTTGGGTGTCCCCATGGACTCCTCCAGGCTCAGTCACTCACGAGAGTGCCACACAGAACTCAGGCGAGCACTGTTGTAGGGTGACAGTTGGCTGACAGCCAGAGGGTCAGGCCAGAACCCACCAAAGGGGACACTGGTGTGAGGTTGGTGAGGCTTCCCAGCTGGAGCTGCATGATGAGCCACGGCCTCTGGGTCATTGTGTGTGACCTTGGGCATCGGGAGTGTGAACAGGGATGCTCCCTCCAGCTTTTGGGTCCAGAGCTTTTCATTGGGATTTCCGTGGGAAGGCTTGATAGAACCCATCAGCCTACATCCCACCCCACCAAGCTTGAGGCCGATGTCACCTGGTCCACAACCCTGAGCAGCTAGTCAAACGGCTGATCCTTCTGCAGTGGCCTGTCAGAATAACCACGACTTGAGGGCTGCTTCTCCAGTTGCTGGGTGCTGCTCGTGGTCATGGTGCGTCATATGAGAGTTGGGATTGGTCAGTCCACCAGGACAGCTGTGTAGACGTGGACGGCTGCCTTAGTCCCGGCTACTCTCGTGTCTTGTGTGAGTAAGTGTCTCATCACCTGACTGACCAGCCGCCCCGTTGGCTGGCACAGTGCCTGACTCCCCACAGTGATGGAGTGGGCCTGCTTAACCGTCACGAGGGCACTGAGCACCTCCCAGGAGACAGAACTGACCCTGGAGGTGGTGAGAAAAAGCGGCAGTACACCAGGGCGCCGGCAGGAGATGGTGTGGTGGGCTTCCTGGCCCATGGAGCCGGAATGCTGATGCTTGCTGGCAGAGTGGGGTGCCTATGGACACTTACTGGTGGAACTCAAAGAGCTCGGTAACACCTGTCCAGGGCAGGGCAGAGGCTGCGCAGGCCCGAGAGGGCTGAGGGGCCGAGGGCTAGAGAGCCGTCTGCCTGGAGGAACACCTGAGAAGAGGCCTTGGTCCTCACTGAGTTGTGCTCTTGAGTTGTAACCTGTTACTTCCCTCAGACACCTCATCGTCCATCGTGGGTATGGTCTGACTCCTGTGGTCATTGCAGTGAATGTGGAACCCGCAGAGAGGTCACGAGTGGTATCAGAATGGGTACAAGGTTGGGGAGTGGAGAGAGGAGGCGTCAGGCAGGGGCTGATGCTGTGACTCCCTGTGCTTTCCTGGGGAGGTTTTCCAGGGCATGTGCCCGGGTTGGATGCCCTGTAGGCTGCTGTATGGGGGCTGCCCTGGGGGCTTTCTGACAGGACCCTTCAGCTCTGCCCTATACTCTTTTTGGAGCCTTCCCCCGGTAGGTCCTGAGAAAGGGTTCAGAAAAACCAAACTCGCTGCCGTCAGGTCAGTTTCAACTATAGGACACTAGAGCTGCTTCCCAGGCTGAGTTGCAGAAAGCTTCATCTCTTGCCCTTGGAGCGGTGGCTTTAAGTGCCAGTCTGTGGTTAGCAGACCAGTGCTTAACCCCTGTTATCACCAGGGCTGCTCAGAGGAAGGGCCCAGGGCGTGGCGCATTTCTTACAGAGCTGGAGTTTGCGAATGCTTTCATTCTCGCCTCGTGTTGGGCTGGCACTTTGTGCCGATGTAGAATCCCATGCCGGTGCCGTTGTCTGGAACCATGTCCTCTACTTCCGTGTTGCTGTTGTCCTTGTGATGCCCAGGCTTTCCCGTCTCCTGACGCTGTGCTTCCGTGTGGATGGTTTTGGATTGAGTCTGTGAGGGTGAACTACTGGGGAACTTCGCATTGATGAACAGCAACTTGATGGTGGCAAATAAAGCCTTCTTTCATTGTGCGCATGCCAAGTACTGGCATCCTGCCTCTGCCACCACTGCCCGGGGGGTGACGACCCCTCCTCCAGGGCCAGTCCTCCTCAATCGGTGAACCAGGGTTTCTGCTTAAAGTCCAGGAGTCCTGCCGAGTGCCCCTGTGCTGCCGTGTGCGTGGCCCTGGCTTAGCGACGGACTGCTGTTGGCCTGGCCAGCTGCTGCTGCCCGTTTCTAGCTGTCATCTGGCATCTCTTCTACTCAGACCTTAGGGTGCACAGCCACGAGTAGTGGGCCAGCTCTCAGCAACGGACAGCACATGGTACATGATTCAAATGGGTGCCAGGGAGGCCCAGAGGCACTAGGACACTAGGGGCGGACGGCAGGCTGACTGGACGTCTGGGAGTCGGGGGCGCAGGTGTGGACGGCAGGCTGACTGGACATTATTCGAGAGTCAGGGGTGTAGGTGTGGACAGCAGGCTGACTGGACATTCGGGAATCTGGGGCGCTGGTGTGGACGGCAGGCTGACTGGACATCCGGGAGTCGGGGCTGCTGGTGTGGACGGCAGGCCGATGGGACCTGTCTTGAGTAGATGACCCTGAGCAGCCCGGCAGGACAGCTGTGCCGGCCTGCGCTCCACCTGTGGTGGTGTAGAGCTGCGGGGCCCATTCCTCTAATGGCGCTAGGTGAGGCAGATGGGTTTCTGTCTGCCCGTGTGAGGGCTGAGGCGGACCCTGCTTACCGAGGGCTCGTCTCCCCACCTCTCTCAGATAAGAAGGCGGAGATTGACCTCCTTGCTGCGGACTATATCGCCAAGGTGAAGGGGCTCTCTTCAGAGCAGCGTGTGGAGCACTTGCAGAACATCCAGAGCGCCTATAACAAGTGTAAGGAATACAGCGATGACAAGGTGCAGCTGGCCATGCAGACCTATGAGATGGTGAGGGCTGCGGGCAGGGGCCGCTCTGCGCATGCACCCCGACCTGCCAGGCGCTGGGTGGGCAGGGGGCTGCACAAGGAGGGGGAGGCGCTGGAACGTCACTTGGAAGACAAGGAAAGTTTCTTGGTGAACTCGTAACTGCATTTGTGATTCTTGGGTGTTTGCTGTTCTAACCGTTTTTAAGGGCACAGTTGGCTGACATTAGTTACATGCATCCTGTATGCAGCCATCCTCCCAGATTGGAACGCCCTCCCTCACTCCCCCTCCCCTGGGGACCACTGTGTGCACAGACGTGGAGTCCCCCGGGGTGTGAGTCCCCCGGGGTGTGAGTCCCCCGGGGTGTGAGTCCCGCGGGGTGTGAGTCCCGCGGGGTGTGAGTCCCGCGGGGTGTGAGTCCCCCGGGGTGTGAGTCCCCCGGGGTGTGAGTCCCCCGGGGTGTGTCCCTGTACTACACACAGGCTGTTACTGCCTGCCAGCCCTCAGCTCCGTGGCTGCTGCTTAAATCAGCTCTTGGCACCCTCTGCTCCTTGGTGCAGGTGGACAAGCACATCCGGAGGCTCGATGCAGACCTGGCGCGCTTCGAGGCCGACCTCAAGGACAAGCTGGAGGGCAGTGACTTCGAGAGCCCTGGGGGACGAGGCTTAAAAAGCAAGTCGTTTCTCTTTCTTTGTGTCCTTGCTGGTGACTGGGCACTGTGGTAAACGTCACACGTGGGGAAATCTCATCCTGCCTCAGTGACTGATACAGAGGTGGTTACTGTCTCTCAGAAGGGCGGGGCCAGAAAGAGAAACGAAGCTCCCGGGGCCGAGGCCGGAGGACGTCGGAAGAGGACACTCCGAAGAAGAAGAAACACAAAGGCGGGTGAGAGACCCTCTTCTCCTCAGGAGGGGTGCCGCTGTGGTCACCTGACTGAGCACGAATGGGATGACTCACTCAGCTGGCCTGTGGGACGGAGGAGAACTGCCCCTGGGTGGCTGGCAGACTCTGCTTTCTCCTGTGGAGTAGCTGGTGGGTTTGAACCACTGGCCGTGTCATTAGCAGCCCCACGCTCACGCCACGGCACCGGGCTCGCCTAGAGGTTGGTGTTGCTGTAATCTACAGGCCAGGAAGTGGCCATGGGCTCCAGAGCTCCGTGTAGCCCGCCTCTGAGCCACCACGCTGTGGGTCTTTTGGAGCGTAATGCCATCGAGGCTTTTGTTGGTACTTGTAGCTCAGTGCCTGAGTAGTGGCTGAGTGCCTGTGTATCTGTTCAGCTTCAGTCTGATGAGCTCTGTGTGCTTAGAACATGCCATCTGTGCTTCCCCGCAGGCCTGAGTTTGCCGAGCCCCCCCTGCCAATGCACTCCTCGGATGTCCTGGACATGCCTGTGGACCCCAATGAGCCCACCTACTGCTTGTGCCACCAAGTGTCCTATGGGGAGATGATCGGCTGTGATAACCCTGATGTTAGTGAGGGACATGGGGGTGGGTGGGTCCGCCCCTCCCCCTCCCTCCACAGTGCCCAGTCCCAGGCCCGTGGGATGCTAACCCCCATCTCTGCTCCTTACCGCACAGTGCCCCATAGAGTGGTTCCATTTTGCGTGCGTGGACCTCACCACAAAGCCGAAAGGAAAATGGTCAGTTTGGGAGCACGTCACACTCTCCTCCTGCCCGCTGAGGGCCCCGTTGGCTGCGTCAGCACCCTCTGCCCTGAGACCATGTGTGGCCAGCACTGCTCGTGGTGGCCGGTGTGAGCAGGGCCCCAGGCCTTCCCATGACGCCTCTGTGCGTCTCCTGTTGTTATGGGCTCTCTGCTGGCACGGGCTGGTCCTTAGGGGACATGGGGAGGTGGAGTGGGGGTCAGGTTGGTGGGGTGCAGGCTTGGGTCCTGAGGTAGGTAAGGTTTGGGGGGCTGATACAGAGCTGAGTGTGGGCTGATGGTAGGTCCGGGGGTGCAGGGCTGGGCATGGGGTGTGAGTAGTCAGGTCTGGGTCCATGTGGGTGGCTGGACTGGTGGTGATACCAGTGGCTTAGCAGACGCCAAGTGTTGCGTGTTTCTTCTCGCAGGTTCTGTCCTCGGTGCGTCCAGGAAAAGCGGAAGAAGAAGTAGGGAGACACTGCTTGTCTACAGCAGAGGAGTGAGCTGACGTGTCTTTCCTCTTGTGACAATATCTTCCCTTCATTTGAAAGCGACCTTGTTGTGAACTGATTTCCAGTAGCCCCGTGACCACTGGTCCTTCTTGTTTCAGAGCAGGCAGACGGACACCAACCGAAACCTGTTTGACCCCCTCTGCCTGAGTGTGCAGGTGTGAACCTTGGTGGGTCTTTGTGAGCTTTACAAATGATCTGGGGTCGTCATGCCGACCCCCTCTGCCTGAGTGTGCAGGTGTGAACCTTGGTGGGTCTGTGTGAGCTTTACAGATGATCTGGGGTCGTCATGCCGACCCCCTCTGCCTGAACGTGCAGGTGTGAACCTTGGTGGGTCTTTGTGAGCTTTACAGATGATCTGGGGTCGTCATGCCGACCCCCTCTGCCTGAACGTGCAGGTGTGAACCTCGGTGGGTCTGTGTGAGCTTTACAGATGGTCTGGTACAGAACTTGGTCCCACCTACTCTCCCGCTGTGAGATGCATGTGGGCAGCTGTCCTTGTGGCCTGACCCTCAACGTGGTGGCTGCAGACCCTTGGCAAGGCTGTGCTAACTGGAGGAGAGACCCTATCTTCTTGTGCATATCCCTGGAGGGGTGTTGGTCATTGACTGTCCTGGGACCTGCATCCCGGGCATACCCACTCTGTCTGAGAACCCCTGTTGCTTCTACTGTGAAAGATAACTGTGAAGGGAGCTGACCTGGTGTGGGAGGACCCCTGACCTGGTGTGGGAGGACTCCCACTGTGACCTGGGGTGGGAGGATCCCCTGACCTGGTGTGGGAGGACTCCCACTGTGACCTGGTGTGGGAGGACCCCCTGACCTGGTGTGGGAGGATCCCCTTGTCCTGCCATGGGAGGACACCCCCCCCTGACCTGGTGTGGGAGGACCCCTGACCTGGTGTGGGAGGACTCCCACTGTGACCTGGTGTGGGAGGACCCCTGACCTGGTGTGGGAGGACCCCCCTTGACCTGGTGTGGGAGGACCCCCCCTGACCTGGTGTGGGAGGACCCCTAACCTGGTGTGGGAGGACCCCCCCTGACCTGGTGTGGGAGGACCCCTAACCTGGTGTGGGAGGACCCCCTGACCTGGTGTGGGAGGACTCCCACTGTGACCTGGTGTTAGTTGGCACTGGCTCACTGCTGGAGAAGCAGTTTCTGCCCAGGGGCCTCCGATTCCATTTGATATCTGTGACCTAGCAGAAGTTGTGCCAAACCAGTCCAGAAGGTCTTTTGGGGACCCTGCCTGCACCCGGCCTGTGGAGGCGGAGTGTGGAGAGTGTTGTTGCTGAGCGTGAGCTGGACCACCGGAACCCCAGTGTGCATTCGAGGAGGAGGGAGAGGCTCTTGTCCGGAAGAGCGCTGTGTGCTGGAATTGGGAGATGGAGTTCCCACTTCAAGAAGAGTTGATTTTCTGTGGAAAGGACAAGAGGGCTGTGGCCTTTGTTGACCCTGCTTGACTCTACTATGTTTTGCCAACAAGAGGCAGGAAGGACTTAGCTTAGGGGGCTGTGTCCGGGTGACACTCAAGGTGAACCCGTGTTCAGTGAGTGGAGGTAGGGAGCCAAAGGCTAAAGGCTTCGAGTCTGTGATCCTCCGCAGTCCTGGGCAAGGCCCCTCTGGACACCTGCCCCCTGGGCTCAGGTGACTGGTAGCCGTGGGCAGCTCAGGTGCCAGCAGGCGTGAGGGTCAGTGCTATTGTGACTTGTTCTGGACGTCCTCCAGCCAGAGGGAGCTTCCTGGAGAGTCTGTGGCCAGCACCCGGCCTGGCCATGTCCACAGAGCTAGAGGTGCCGTGACATCAGGACACACAGCTGCTGACAGACTGTGGGGCACATGCGCATTTGGCCAGGGCCATTCCGCTCTTTGAGCAGCGTCACCAGCGTTAGCGCTGGAGCGGCCTGTGTGTGGTGTGGGGTTCAGATAGCCGGTGATGCTTGTCCTCCCAGGACGTTTCGTGGGTGCAGCGTCCCCTGTGTGCTGACTTGCTGTACTGTGGCTGTCTGTCTGTAGTGTTTACTTTTGCCAGTGAAAATAATACACTCAAATAACACATATGTCGCTTTGGAGGAAGCACAGAGTCCAAGCAGAGTAGGAAAATCCCCTAGAACATTCTTAGGGCCTGGCCACATGCCTTCTGGAGCGTTGACACTGGTGGGGAGTGAGGAGGAAGACACCCGGCGAAGCAGCCCCGCCCTCAGCACCGCCCAAGGGTTGCTTTAGGGTGCAGAGTGCTCCCTGCTGCTGGTGGCTGCAGAACATCGGGCCCAGGCACCTGCGGCCTTTCAGAGTCCCTTGGATCAGGGGTGGAGAGGATGTGGCCTTTCAGAGTCCCTTGGATCAGGGGTGGAGAGGAAAAGGCCCCCTGACCTTTTTCTGTCCTCTGCAGTGTCTCTTCAGCAATAACACGTCCACACAGTAGCCCGCTCGGGCTCACAAACAGGAGCCTGCAAGGGCAGGGGTATACAGGGTGGGGGGGGGGGGGCTGGGATGAGTGTGGGTGGTATTCTGTACACTGTGGAAGTGGACGTTGCCTGGGTTTTTAGTGACCAGCAGGGATCTTTGTGGTGGCCTGTGCTGAGGAGCGTTTTAGAGGGGGTGGGGTGGGGGTAAGAAAAGGGTGCTCACTCTGGGAGCTCACGTGTGTCCTGGTGTCAGCTTTACATGCCTCATCCGAACGATGATGCAGCTTTAACATGAATGTCATATTTTATTTTCAAGGAATTGTTGTCTATGTTCCCTTTGTAAATGAGAGAGGATATTGTAAATCTTTTTATTCGATAATGTAAAGATGTATATCTGTATTTTTGGATCATGTAACAGATCATGGATATATTGTTTAATAAATAAAGTATTTTTTGGAACAAGTTTTTGGATGTGTATCACCTGGGAAGCTTCTGTTGTGCCCAGGTTGTGCTAGAAACGAGCGGTGATCGTGCCTAGGGGACGTGCAGGACCCTGAGAGTGCTGGTAGGGATGATGGTCCTTTTGGGGACAGACTAGTTCTTTGCTTTCTCTTTTTAAAATGATTAACTTTTTATTGTGAGTAAAGGTTTACAGAGCAGTTCATCAGTTTACATCCAACTAATCCCAGACTTGACTTCTGTATAATGGTTGCAATCTTCTCTATGTACCAACAGTTCACAGTGTTGACCTCGATCCGCTTCAGTTTCACATTGCATTCCTCCCTGTGTCTCCTGCTATGCTCATCTTTCCTCTGCTGACCTCCCTCTTGTCTATTGTCTGCCCTGTCACCCATGTTGTTGTTGTTGTTGTTGTCCGGTGCCATCGAGTCGGAACCGACTCACAGCGACCCCATGCATAGCAGAACGAAACAATGTCCGATCCTGGGCCAACCTCACTACCACTGCCACACTTGACATCATCAGTGATGCCACCTGGCCAATCCATCTCGCTGGGGGTCTTCCTCTCTTTCTCTGACCTTCCACCTTAACAAGCATGACATCCTTCTCCAGTGACTGTTCTCTCTGGACAATGTGTCCAAAGTATGAGAGACGAAGCTTAGCCATCTTGGCCTCCAAGGAGCACTCTGGCTGCACTTCTTCCAAAACAGATCTATTGGTTCTTTTGGCAGTCCATGGCACTTTCAGTATTCTCCCCCAACACCACAACTCAAAGGCATCAATTCTTCTACGATCTTCCTTATTCACTGTCCAGCTTTCGCATCCATATGAGGTTATTGAAAATACCATGGCTTGGGTCAGGCACACCTTAGTCCTCAAGCTGACATCTCTGCTCTTCAACACTTTAAAAAGTTCCTGTGCAGCAGATTTGTCCAATGCAATATGTCGTCTGATCTCTTGACTGCTGCTTCCATGAGTGTTGATAGTTGATCCAAGAAGAATGAAGTCCTTGACAACTTCAATCTTTTCTCCATTGATAAGAATGTTGTTTATTGGTACAGTGGTGAGGATTTTTGTTTTCTTGACATTGAGATGCAATCCATATCGAAGGCTGTGCTCTTTGATCTTCATAAGTAAATGTTTCAAGTCCTCTTCACTTTCAGCAAGCAAGGTTGTATCATCTGCATATGGCAGGTTGTTAATGAGTCTTCCTCCAATCCTGACGCCATGTTTTTCTTCATAGAACCCAGCTTCTTGGACTATTTGTTCAGCATACAGGTTGAATAAGTATGGTGAAAGAATACAACCCTGTCTCACACCTTTCCCAATTTTAAAACATTCAGTGTTCCCATGCTCTGTTCAAACAACTGCTTCTTGGTCCAGGTACAGATTCCTCAGAAGTACAATTAAGTGTTAACATGTGTCTACTTTCTTGTTCAGTGCCGTCAAGTCAGTTCCAACTCATAGCCACCCTGTATAGGGTTTCCATGGAGCAGGCAGTAGATTTGAACTGTTGACCTTGTGGTTCACAATCCAGGGCTGATCCATCAGCCATCCCCACCCTGGTACCAACATAGATGCTTTCTTTTATCAAGACAACGTTAACTTTTTACAACATTAGTTTGATACAGTATTTGTCCTTTTGTGATTCACTAATTTCACTCAGCATAATGTCTTCCGGATTCATCCGTGTTGTGAGGTGTTTCTCAGATTCATTGTTATTCAGCATTCGGTAGGATTCCGTTGTGTGTATGTCCCAAAGTTAGTTTAACCTATCTTTTGTTGATGGGCATTTAGGCTGTCTCCATCATGATGATGTGTCTCTTGTAGACAGCATATGGAAGGATCCTGTTCTTAGCCACTCTGCTCTCTCTCTTTCTTGAATGGTGCTGCAGCTGGTCGTCTTTGTTCCACTTAATTTTCTCCATTTTGTTTGTGGGTTTTCTTTGCATTTTTAAATCTTTCTGATTTTCCTCTTTAATTTTGATGTGCAGGTGTATTCATTTTCTTTGAGGTAACCCTGCAATTTATTAATATTTTCCACTATTTAAAATAGTCTGTTTCATCTTGAAATCTATTTCCTTTCCTTCTGAAAGTTCTGT